CACAGACTAGGCATCCCAAACTTCATGAACAATTTTCCTTGGGGGAACTAACAAAACGAAAGACATCCAAACCTTGATAAATGGAATACTATTGGCAATTCTAAGAGCGCAGGTGGACTTGGTACCAAAAGCATCAAGGAACAAAATTTGGATGCAAATTAACAAGTGCAAAACACATAATGTGGTCAGATTAGCTAAGGAAAAAAATACCTTGAAGAATCATATAGGATTCTCTAGAGAAACAAGAATCTTGGTCTCGGAAAGCATTCATGAAACACCTCCATTGTAGAAAGATTTAGCGTTGGGTGTAGGTGATGCTGGAATCGATAATAGGTTCACTTGTGTTTCCACCAATAATCTTCACCTCCCATAGTGACCTTTAAATTATCAGAGACCAAGTGGTGAAAAATAATACCCTACAGGCCATATGGTGAAAAGCAATCCGCCCTAGGGCCTTGTGGCTCTCATGGTTAGTTTACCAATCTACAGTAACATAGGCATCCCAAACTTCATGAACAATTAGATACTTTGCTTCCCCTTGCCCCAACCTCAAATAGACTCCAAGCAGAATGGTTGCCTCCTCCTCGTGGCTTTCTCAAACTCAACACTGATGGACGCTCTCTTGGCAACCCAAGTCCCTCGGGTTATGGTAGTTCCCTTCCTAACTTTGAGAGAGTCTTCCTCTCATTCTCTAGTTCAATCAACTACTGCTAAAGCCGTGGCTTTGCCGCAAGGCATTTAATTCCAAACAGAGCAGCCTTTTTGTTGGAGCACATTCTAGGAATGTCATTGCATAGGCGTCAAAGATTGCTCAGCCCCCTTGGACGCTAGCTTACATTGTTTGTTGTGTTTATTTCTTGAGTAACATTCAAACACATTCTCAGAGATGTCAACACTGAGGATGATAGGTTGTTAAGGATAGTGCTTTCGAGTTTCGCTATAGTAGGAGGGGATAAGAATGCCATGTGATCTCCTTCCTGCTCTCAGTCTTTGTGAAAGTAAAGTTTCTCATGGTGTTCTTTTTTCCTATCCTAGTCACTACCCTCCACTTTTCTCCCACACACTATGGAGACTTTTTCCCTAGAGCTGTAGTTGATATAGATGTGTGGTACTTTAGAACCCCCCCACCCGCCCCCCTCAACAAAAATAAATAAAAACAAAAACAAAACAAAAAAAAAGCACCGCCATTATTTTTGGTAAAGGGAAAAAAATAATAGGTGAAGAATAAATCCATTTCTCTCTTCTTCCTGTCCTTTCAATAGTAGTCTCCTGTTCTCCGCCCTATTATTCTCCTTCCTTCGTAGCCTTTAATCCGATATACTCTTCCTCTCTCCCTCTTGGCTCCTACTCCCCTTTCTACACTCTTCTTTGCTTTCCTCCCTCGGCTCTCTTTAGTCTATCTCCCACTCGCTAAAGCCCTCTACACTAAACACTACCTTTGTATCTCTCTCTCTCGCCATTTTGTCTAGAGCTCTATGTTTTTTATCCAACCCCTTGATTGCTCTAGAGGCTCCTTTCATCTTGCATCCATCAGTTGTGCTTTCAATGCTTCCAATGTTGTCAGGTCTTCATTTTTGCACAATCCATAATTCCCAGCTTCTTCATTTTTGCACAATCCAATATATCCTCGCTTCTTGCTCCGGCACACATATTCTTCATTACCCTATCCATACAATTTCTTTCTCCTCTACCAACACTTTACCTCTAGCCTTTTTTGGTCTTTTGTAGTTCTTATATTTAGTTTTATCTTTTTATAGTGTCTTATATTTACTTTTATCCTTTTATGCTGTGTCTTATATTTACTTTTATACTTTGCTTGTATAGTGAACAAGCCTCTTGTAAACATCCCTTCCTCAACTGCAGACGATTCAGGCTAGGCAATGGCCAGCGAATTAGATTAGATAAGTGGATTGGAGTTGCTCCCATCACACAGTCCTACCACTCCCTCTTCCTCCTGGCTCGGCTCACAATCAGGCAGCTGTAATTGCTGATTATACATATTTTAGAGGCTGCTCCTAGTTTGGACTCCAAAATTTCGAAGGAACCTAACTGACCAGGAAACCTCCTTATCCTTGAACTCCCTTCTTCAGATGCTTGCACCTCTCTTCAGTACTCTCCAAGGTCAAGACTCAGTTATTTGGTCCCCTAACCCTTCCGGCACTTCCATTGTCGCTAATTTCTACTCTTTCCTTCTCTCTTCCCGAACAAAAGTAAATATACTTAGGGGATTTGTAAACAACGCCCCATTCGCTCCTCTTTCCTTCTCTCTTCCCCATCTCCCTACTTCATCGCTTTCTTATCTCCTCACTGCTCTCTCCCTCTATGTGCACTCATCTCTCTCCTCTCGCATCCTCCACTCTACTCTTACCCTAAGTCTCTTGCTTTATCCATACCTTTTATGACCTTAGACTCTCGTCCTCCTCTTCGCTCCCTTCACCGTTGTGCACCCTTCGACCCTCTCATTTCCAAGGCTGGGATCTCACGGACAGGTGCAATTCGACAATCCCTGGCTGTACATCCTGCATTTGACATGCCTAACCAGATATTGCAATGCTTCCTGCACCCGAGGTGACACACTGCTCCCATGGTGGTGCTCCCGCCATATCGTGGAAAGCACTTACCATGTCATCCTTTTTTATTTTTTGAAGAACTTGCTTCCGCTCCCATTACAACAATCACGGGCTCTACACCCCCAGGCCGCCCTCCCATCCCACAGCTTAATATCTGTTCTAGTTTCCTTGTCACTTTTATTTTATTTTATTTCTCTACTCTACCCCTCTCTTTCTGTTTCTTTCTCTTACTATATCTCCCTCTGCCTGTAGTCTGAGGGCCCATCATGTGGGTGGCCTTCTCCTATTTAATAAAATGTATTCTCGTGTTCATTTATAAAAGTAAACCTTTCCTCAAAAAAAAGTAAGAGCTGTTGGTAGGTAGGTTTACTAAACTTCTTTGCTTCCTTTGTCATTTCTACAGACTGAGCACGCTATGTGGGCTGCCTTATACCACTTCTCGTGGTTTTATTTATTAATACAGTTTCCATATTTCTCAAAAAACAAAAAAATAACGTTACCAAATATCACAAAATAGTTTCCTTTAAAAATAAAATTACAACACATTACCAAATCTCACAAAATAGCTTCCTTCAAAACTAAAATTACAACACATTACCAAATCTCACAAAATAGTTTCCTTTAAAACTGAAATTACCACTTTGATCTCAACACGAAACCCAACAAATCCATAATTTTTACTCTCTCCATGAATTCTACCCTGTCTCTTCGCCCCGAGCAAGCTGAAGAGAAGTTCAATTCTAACATTCAACGATTTATCTCTGCTGACTCTGGGGAACTGGCCAGGATCGCCAGAAGCGAACCGAAAATGGACAAAATGCCAACAAAACGTTTCATGTCATAGGGTTTCGTGTACGACGGTAATATCTCACAGACTGCCAAGGGGAAGAAGCAGGCACGATGTATTGGGAGAAATATTGTTATTTGAGAAATCATGGCCAGTAACTCTCAGATTTTAACATCAAGCCCAATGAACCAGATCTTTCCATCCATTAAAAAGAATGTAAGAAAAAGAGAATGATAAATCAAACCCAGAAACCCAAATCGAATCTGAATTATAAGTGCTTTTTAAGGCTTTTCTCGAATCATCATACCTTGATCTTAGTTGGATCAAACACCACATTCTTACTGGTGAACTCAGCAAGGCGCTCCTCGACCTCTGATGGATGAATCTCCGACGACGTAATCTTAGTCATGAACTCATGAAGGCCCATCTCGCTTGCACAAAGTGCAGCAATGACCCCTATAGCAGTTTGAATACACCTCAAAAATGGAGAAACCAGAACCCTATGGATCTGAAACCCTTGTTTGCTAAGTATTACTCCACTGCAGAAAGTAGCAAGCGTTCCTGCAACGGTGATAGGAGGATCCCACGGCCTTTGAGCAGTTTGCTTCCACGAGCGCTTCAACGCGTCCAATCGATGCCCATGGCGCATCACTATGACTTTCTGGAGCGGATGGTCATGGCCTAGGGTGAGGGCTTTCTCTGAATATGGCGTGTTCTGAGGAGAGATAGGGGGATGTAAGGTTAGGGTTTGCTCTGAAGATGGTGCTTTCTGGGGTGCGATTGGTGGATCTAGGGTTAGGGTTTGCTCTGAAGATGGCTTGTTCAGAGGTGAGATTGGTGGATCTAACGTTAGGGTTTGGTCTGAAGATGGCGGGGAGATGGTTGGAAGTGGCGTTAGGGCCTTTGCAGGATCCATGGTTTTGGGGTTTGCTCTTGGGAAGGCTAATGCTTTGTATCGGGCCCACCTGCCCCTTTATTTAAACAAATAATATACCACGTGACCCCCCACTTCTCTTGTTTATCAGCGGATCAGATGGCTGAAATCGTTCATTTCACATGTTCAAATACAATTTTAAATTTTTATAGAACTTTTAGTGAGATAATATTTTGGGTGCGGTTTGTATAGAGCTGATGCTCTAAACAATCCAAGTACAGCCCACTTTCAAGTAGCGTTGAGAAATGTAGTTTCATTATCGAAAATATCTGTGATAGCCTTAAAATATATTTTAATCTCTAATTATAAAATTTAAAACCTTCAAACATAGTATAGATCAAGCATATCTATGAAAACTTGAAAATTGACAGTCCAAAAAGGCGTTACATGATGCACTATTCCCAAAACTTGAAATCTACTTTCTTCTCATGTCCATTCATCTTGATGTCGAGATGACCAATTTGAGGATATTTAGGACTTAAAATAATCTCTTCTAGTGAAATTTTTGAGGTGGGTTCTAATTTGATTGTTTAGAGCCTTGGCTCTATATAAACTTTTTCCTAATATTTTTGGTGAATTTTTAGGCGTTCCCTTTTCTTATTGGGTGGCTTGAAAATAAATATTTTCCTGGTTTTGATGTTTGCTTTTTTTTTTTTACCCAATTATCCAAATTGTTGATTCACCAAGACAAATAGGTTTCCGATATAGGCGATTAACTTTAAGCATTGTCGAAAGCATAAGATCTTATAACGGTTGGCTACATAGTTTTTTTGGTAGTGTCTTAAAACTCGATGATTTGGATCAGAATTTGATAATCTGAACTAGCAATCATTTGGGACTAAACTAGTTACCTTAAGCTATCAATCTCAGCATGGTTTCTCCTTAAAACTTATCATTTTATTTTCTTTTTATTTTCCTTTAAAACTTTTCTATTGCCACTGTTTTGAATTTTCTTTTATGTTTTGTATTTACTATTTTTTTAGATCACCTATTCAAAATCTATTTGGACTGATAGGGATTGACAGTCCAGTGATGTAATGCACACACACACACACAAACACACATACACACACACATATATATATATATATATGGTGGACAATCAACCTGGGTCACCGGTTCCCAAAAATTTAGCTTGTAGGAAACTTATTAGTTTAGAATTGATATTTTTTTAATTAAAATAGGATATTTGAAACCTAAAGGCAAAATAGTGCTTCATTTGTTAGTAATTCTTTTGGGTAGTTTAGCATTAGGAATCAAACTCGAGGGGTAGAGTTGTCAAAATTTAATGTTATGATCAAATTTGAAGGTCCACCTTAATTGGATTGTTTAAGGTTGCAACCTTATGGAAACCATACCCTTTATTCATTGAAATTAAATTAACAAAAAGATAAATTCACATGAATAGCCCCAACTACAGTTACTAAACGTTTATTTTCAAAAATTTGTGTTTACATTCATACTCTTTTTTTTCAATTTGTTATTTTATTTTTTATGAATCCTCTTTTGGACTTTTAAGGTTTGAAGTTTACCCTTACAAGAACAACTTTGGATCCCAAGACCTTGAGGGTTTTCTCGATACATAGCTTGGAACTTAAAGAAGTAAATTTGCTCTAGAGATGAACTGCGGACCTTCAAGGTCCAAACTTAAACCCAATGAATACTAGCTTTCTCCTAGAGATAATTGTTGTTTCAATACTCAACTTGAGACTTTCAAGATGTGAAATTTCACATCTTATATAATCATCAAAGGTGAAATTTGATAGCTTGAGTGTGTCACAAAGTTCAAAAAAATTTATTTCGATCTTTGAGCTTGGTCAATGGAATAAATACAGCCACCCAATTTCACATCCAATGATTAAGATTAATTGTGACTGTCTTGTACCAAAGATAAATGGTCACATTATATACTTTTCATGTTATATATTTCATATTATATATTATAAGACTTTTCCTCATGTTGTTATATAACTCAAGTACTAAAACAACATAAGCAAGTACCAAGATTGGGTTGAGAGAAAACCATGCTGCATATAGTTATCCCATTTTTCAACTATAATCTTGTAATTGATTAATAATATATCCATTATACCCAAACTTCGTCACTCTCTTTCTTGGTAATCCTTATTGCCATATAATTATGACCTATGGTCAGTTTCCCCATCTCACAATTCACCAATGTCTTCACCAAAGGTGTAACACATTTACTAAAGTAAGTAGATCATCTCATTCCAAAATTAAGGTTGCAAAAACAATATTAGGCCTCATCTCCCCGATTGACTTACATGCTCTTGGTCCATTGTTTAGAGATAAAAAATTGTATAAAAGTAGTGCATCTCGTAATAAATTATTTAGATAGTATATTTTCAAGATTTATCTCAATATGCACCTTTTTTAAATAATTAAACCTAAACTTCCAAGCCATGATAGGGATACCCATACAGAACTCATCTCCCTGCAACTAATGACCAAGATGGCCTCACAAATTTATTTGAAAAGCACTTAATTTGCAATAATAATAAAATAAAAAGAGCACTTAGTTAGAAAACGACTTGATTTTGTCGGAATTTGAAGAAGAAATTTCCTTCTCGTTACAAATACGTGTATTTTGAGAACTACTTTTACACAAGACGAAATTGACCAGAAAACATAAATTTAAATGTGTCTTGCCATTTGAATAAAAAATTAATCATCAAAATTTCAATGGGAATAAATTTTCATTTTATGAGTAAAATTTATAATTTCTGTGTGATTTTGAATTTTTTACTGTGTATATAAAACTTAGTCATATGGAAATAACAAAATATTTGAATTTCTAAACTACATAATAATTATAAACTTTGTCAAATTATAATTTTGGTTATCAATATATTTTGGATTAGAGTCAATTATTAAAGAACAAACATTTTCTAATTATTAACGATTAATTCAAGTTAAAATTTGAACATTATATCGATGTAACTTCTTTTGGAACCCACTTTCATAATTAAAGCTTTTGATACCGATAACATAGGTGGCATACACTAAGTTGCAACCGACTTGAACAATTAAAGTGCTAGATAAAATAACTGCAATGCTTTTAAGATAATGTTGATCCAAATCAGAATTGCCCCATCTAAATCTATTTTTAGGGGGCACCAGTTGCCCTACAACTTTAGGTCCCCTACCCTACAAATCAAATATTGTGGGTCCCTTACCATAAGTATTTATTATTACTTTTTGTAACGTTGGATTGGGGTTTTATATCTCTTGGTGGGCCCCATTGACCCTCTTGCTCCCCACCTTCAACCGTGCGGGATTTTCAGCGGACTTGTGCACGCGTGTTCACATCGAGAGAGAGGTGGAAGAAGCTTCTCTTTATACTTCTTTTCTCTCCACTCTATTTTTTTTTCCATCTTTTTCCATGTGATGAGTATCTCATAGAAGATTATATAACTTCCAAGTTTAATTCAAAATAAGTAGCTACGAGATTGTTCGGGTGATTTTTTCATATTTTTATTTAAAGGAAAATGTTCGAGGTCTTAAACAATTAAATTAAGGCATACCTTAAAAATCCATCAGGATTGTTGAAAAACTCTTAATTCGATCATCCCAACCTCAAGATATACGACAAAAAATAGATTTCGAATCTTGGAAACAATGCATCTTGTAATGTATTATCTAGACCGTCAATTTTCAAGTTTACAAGTGTTCATAGATGTGCGATTAATAATATATCCATTTTAAACAGTTGATAATTGAAAACGTGGAATATATGTCTTCTATAATAAAAAAAATGATTAAAGAATTTGAGTTTTTAAAATTGTAATTTACATTTTCTGAAATAAATATTAAAAAATAACAAGCGATCTATATATTGTCTTTATTATGAATGAAGTACTTAATGCAATACGTGCCATTTAAGAATTGCTTGGTAAATTTGAATCATAGTTAGCAAGTCGTCGTTAAAAACATGATTTTTTCTTTAAAAATGTCATATTATTGTAATATGTTTTAAACTTCATTACTTTCAAAATCTCAGGAAAAAGAACGCATCATTCTGTTAAAAATGTTAGAAGCGCCTTTTTATGACTTTTCGAAAAAGAAAGAAAAAAAAGGTTAAAAAAAACTTCCAACATTTTTGCAACCAAATCCGTTTTTTATTTTTTTTTCAAAGTTCTACATCTTTATTCTTCTATTCTACATCGTTAGTCTTCAGTAAATAAACACATGGTTGTCATGTTTCATGTACACATGGTTTACATGTTGACATGCTTCTTCCATGGTTTCATAGAAGGATTTGTATGGGGACCCTATCTCTCATGTGTATGTAGTTTCCTCTTCATTACTCTCCCTCCATTCTCTCTTCTCCCTCCCTTCCCCTTCCCTCCCGACCCCACGCGACCTCACCCCACCCCACCCCACCCCACCCCACCCTACCTTTATCTCTTAACCTTCTCTTCTCCCTCAATGGACGCGAAAAAGAAGATTGAAAGAAATGGCAAGTTCTTTCTCTTCTCCCTCCCCTCCCCACCCACAGCACTTTTATCTCTTAACCTTCTCTCCTCTTATCATTATCTTCTCCCTTAATGGATCCGAAAACTCTTATCATTATCTTCCCCCTTAATGGATCTGAAAAAGAAGGTTGAAAGAAATGGCAAGCCCCCACTAGCAAGAGAATTTGGAACAGCCTGAGCAAATGGAGGAGGAGACGGAGGAGGAGGAGCCGGAAGAGCAGGCAAAAAGGGAGGAACCAGAGGAGCCGGAAGAGCTTATCATTATCTTCTCCCTTAATGGACCCGAAAAAGAAGGTTGAAAGAAATGGCAAGCCCCCACCAGCAAGTGAAGTTGGAGCAGCCTGAGCAAATGGAGAAGGAGACGAAGGAGGAGGAGCCGGAAGAGCAGGCAAAAGAGGAACCAGAGGAGCCGGAAGAGCAGACAATAGAGGATCCAGAGGAGTCGGAAGAGAGGGAAGACGAAAAAGAGGAATCATTGATTCCAAAACCAGACGAACCACCCCACTTATCCGACTCCATTCCTAT